CACACACACACACACACACACACACACACACACACACACACACACACACACACACACACAGAGAGAGAGAGAGAGAGAGAGAGAGAGAGAGAGAGAGAGAGAGAGAGAGAGAGAGAGAGAGAGAGAGATACTTCATTAACTATTTACAGTCAAAATGTATGCCTTATTAATGCTCTGAATTTAGCACCTTTGAGGCTCAGAAAGCAGTGTGCTTAGGTCATTTTTTTCGTTATTGTCAGGTGTCTGTTTGCCGCTTGCTTGTAACAACTCAGCTCTGCCCAAATTTTGGATTTTCTGGTCAATTCCTTAACATCTTTCCGTGTGGATTTTAGGTCTGGCTGGCAGCAGCTGTCCTCTTGACTTGGTTTGGTGGATGGCCTCAGCATGGACTGTGGCCTGCACTGGCAGCAGCAGCAGCAGCAGTGGATTTGTGGTCTCCCGTTTGTTTTTTCTTCTTATTGACTTCTGGGTATTTGTCCGCCGTAATCTCTTTTTGCTTCTCTCCGCTCACACTCGTTCCATAATTTCTTCTTTGTTCACAGCAGAAAAGATGTGAGAGAGAGAGAGCGAGCACGGAGAGCCGCGACTTGTTTACACGAGCCTCATTGGTGAGAATGTGACATGCTGCAACATAAAATGTGCCGGATTTCTGTTCTCTCAGCACGACAATCGCTGTTTGTGGAAGTGGCCACGGGGTGTTGTTTTGCTGCTGTGGATGATGCACAAAGCCGAAAGAGGACACGATATCAAAACGACACATTAAAAAAAACAGGGCGTAGATTACATGAGCAGTGCGCAAAGGTGCAATGTCGGGGACATTTGTTTTGCTTTGGACCGTGTCCTGTTCTAATTGCTTTTACTAATCTTATTTTAGGATCAAGCCAAGAGGCCTGCACATTTAAAAAATCCGCTTACTGGTACACTTCCAGAGATGTTGATCAAAAAAACTTGCATTTTCACCAGTTAAATTAGACCCAATTAATGAACGAATCTGATAGATTTTGCCATCTGCTGCTTTTGAACACCCCGAAACTTCTCCTCCTCTTCTTCTCCTGTTAAGACACATCCAGGTCTGTTTCAGAGGGTCGTCTGACCACCGCGTGGCCGACGCTTCACCTCGCCCACCTCGCGTTCAAGCTCTGGGGACTTTAATTCGGGGGTTCTGAGGTTTGAAACTCCCTCTAGTTCACTTCTAGTCTCCTCTCAGAGAGCGGTTCTAGTCCATTTCAGTCTGGCCCTCTTCGGATCCCACTGTGATTGCGTTTTAGGACTTCTGCTCGGAGGTGGCAGCAGGCGTAGCCACAGTCTCTGGCTTCACAATCTGGTACGTGATCAAGTATTCTGGGTAGGCCTGTGGACAAAGAGCACATCAAATGTAAATAAAACTAAATACTAGGCTCATCTCTCGAGCATTTAGAACGTTGCACAGCTTTTTTGAGATTCTTATAGACAAAATGCTGAATCAATTAATAAAAGCGTGTGTGTGTGTGTGTGTGTACTGACCTGCTCCCCTCTGTAGATGACGTACTCTGCATACGCCAGCCCGTTGACGCTGGGCCGTCCTATAACCGAGTGGTGTCCGGGGGGGGCGTGAGCCATTTTCATCGCACTGAACTGAAGAAAGGACTTACCCAGCGTCACTCTGCAGAACAGCATCGGCCTGAAAAGTAAGCACACATATATGTGTTTGATTTGTACATTTTTGCTTCATAATGTAATGTGATGAACTGATGATATGTTACAGTAAGTTTTAATATCAATAATTAACACGCAACAGTGAATCCTATTCTCTTTCTATGCCCACTATTACATAATAGTAGTACAGTATATTGCAAGAAAATGTGTTTTGCACTAACAGGAAATGATATAAGTGTGTCAAAACTGAGGCTTTGAAATACAACTTTGGAATAATAACAGCCAAGTAAAGAAAGCTGAATGTTTTCCTTCATGCAATGCATTGTGGGATACTAGAGTCCATCAAAAGCACATCTAGAAATCAAGTGGATTCAGTATAGAAAGCAGCATCTTTGAGTAAACTGTTATCACTTTAGCAGTTTTAACAAACTACATAATTCTGATGATAATTAGAATCAGTACTTAGTGCGACACAGGTGCTTACTAGTAGTTCTGTCCTTCCACACAATAAACCAGATGTTGTAAGAAACGGGAAACATGCCACGATGGTAAAGACGTCTCACCTGTGGCACACATAGCAGGAGCGGTCTTTGTGGGTGGGACATCCTGTGCCTCCACCAATCCCGTACACGTACTGGTTGCTTTTGGAAGAGTTCTCAGCAAAATAGATGCCAGCACCGAACATGCCGCCGATGTAAGCGTGTCGCTCGTCGAAGCCCTTATGGATGATGGCATTGATGAAGGGAGAACCTGGCAGGAGAAAGGACACAGTCGTATCAAGTCCATCGCACAACAAAAAGATGCAACATACTCTGTGTCAAACGTTTTAAATGTTACAGCTCCACAGACCGATACGGGCCAAGGAGCTGAGATCAGCTCAAGACCTTTGCCATTATTTGTAATGGGGGAGTACGAGAGGCATGACATTCAACAGAGGACCCGAAGCCAGAATCGCCAGGATGCTGCGGTTGCACGGAATTGGGTGTAAACACTCGGCTACCTCGACATCTGTGTCAATTTACCGTGAAAGAGCATTCGCTCGTTGTGGTGGTTGTGATTCTCGTCTGCTATTTCCTTCTGTCTGTGTGCGTATCTCTCCCGCAGCTTCTTATTCACCACCTTCTGAATCTGCAGAGTCAGAGGAAGGAAAGGAGGGAACGAAGAGGGAATTAAGAATTCAAAGTGTACTTGCAAAAGTCAAACAACAAACAAACTTTGTAAGTACTTTGTGATCATAAACAGAGAAAACCGGTCTCTGCGTCTGTGTGTTGTGAGTACACACCTTAATGATGTTGTACCGGCTGAAGACTCCCCCCGCGTTGCCTCCATCGCGGTGTTCTCTGATCGTGCTCTGTAGCTGAGGAGGAAATGACCAGACATTAAAACTACACGCTTACGCAAAGCTTTTAAGATTAAAATGGGGAACGTGTGGGATACACGCATGCTAATGAAATGCAGATTTCATAACAAAAGGTGTGATTCATACAGCACTCTGGACAGCGTTAGACCACCTAGGTATGAGTCATGTCTTACCTCAGCAAGCCCAGGAGTGTTTTCGTATTCAGAAGTGATATCCAACGGCCACCTCGACTAACAATTTAATCTCAGGTTACCTGTTGTATTTTCTGTCATCTGGTGTATCGGCTCTTACCGACTTGCGTACTACACAGGTTCACCTAGCTAAAACTAATGCAGTCTTATACAACAGTCCTGTTAAAGTTTGTAGAAAGTATTTTAGAGAGCTGCTGATTGGTAAGGTCATTTTGGAGGATGTAGTTTGTGGAACCACAGATATGAGTATCTGTTATGTAGCCGGCGCTCGGTGATATAAACAGGGCGGACAAAGCCAACATAAAAACCTTGGGGTTGGTAGGATTTATTGCAGGTCTCTTTAATTGATGTTAGTTAGGATAAGGTGGCAATTGAGTGTAGATTACAGAGCCATATAATCCGAGCAGCAACTCAATTCAATCGCAGCAGATACCTAAATAATGCCTGTGGGAAAATTGGTGCGGCTGCAAAAAGTGTGTCATCAGCAGTGAAAAAAGACGACTCGACTCTCAAAAGAGAATATAAATGTAGCATAGTGCTGCAGCTGGATTTACAAACTGATGAGAGGAAAGTTTGCCACGATGTGGTTGAAGTGATTACTGCCTTTCACAAAATGAGTTATTGTCCCGATGACTGAAATTATTGATGACCTAGAAATGACTGCCGGTAATAGGCAGAGGAACCCAACCTCGTATTGGAAGCTGTCTCGAGGGGGACTCGTGTAAGTCATTTTTCAAAAATTACAGTTTAAATTACGCGTAAATTACCTGTTAGGAACTGACGGTCCTCATTAATTTTGAATCCACTCAGACTGATATCTGCTGTCTCTTTCAGTTACTCCTTTCATTTACGGGAGAGAAATGGAGCAACAGCACTGATGGGGAGTCTGTCGTGCACAGTGTGTGGTGTCTCCTTTGCCAGATGTCCGGAATTACTAATCACGGACATCATGCAGTTAAAAAATGTAAAGAAATGCTTTAAACTATTTGACCAAGCTGCTGTTAAGTCATGCAGGTAGTGAAGGAAAAAAAGCAACTACGATCAACCTAAATCTATGTTGTGTGTGTAAAAGTGTGTTTGCATACTTCCTCCTCCACAGACTGGAACTCCTTGTCGTCCGGTGCCAGGTCAATTAGCACGGTGCCCTGGCTGGAGCAGTGGAACGTCAGGTATGGGTTTGCACCTATAAACACAGGTTTTGAAAGTGAAACAGAGAAAGGATAAATTACTTTTCTTTTTCTTCAAATCACCAATAACAGCTGTATTCACCTATATAACCTAAACGTTGTGATGAAGCAGGTTTACTAGATAACACAACTTTATGTTAGAAGGAGAACTTGTTTGATTGTGTTGAAGACAATCTGTCACATTCATATGTTTTAACATTTCCAGCGTTGTCTATTTTAACACTAAATATTAGTTTCAATACAGTCAATCTGATATAGGGTATATATGGGTGTGTTTGTGTGTTTCCTGACCTTGCTGGCCTCCCAGCAGCCTCTCGATGCCCTTGATGAGTTTGTGCCTGTGACCGTAAGCGTTGATGCCGATCTCTTTCAGCTCCTCGTGACCCATGTCTGCCAGCACATCCAGCGAAATCTGCCCAGAAACAACAAAGCAGTCATGTCAGTCTTGCTCATCTGTCTATCTTCTGCCACAAGAATGCAAACTGCAAGGAAAAGAACATTTTATTATCATAATGTTCAATAACTATTCCAGCCAAACCTCTAATTATACATCCGACAACTAAACACATTGTTGTTCTAATGTATTTCACGGTAGAGCTCTGCACACACTTAATAACACAACAGTTTAATCTGATCAGCAAAAAAAAAAAAGCCAACAATAAATACAAGAGTTCAATGATTAAGACATATTGCAGAGACAAAGGGTCTGATAAATATTCAGTACAAAAAGAGAGACAGAAGCATAAAGAAAGGGTCAATGAATGACTGGCAGTTTTCATGGGATTGATATGCAAATTGATGATGGTGAAGTGTGGGAGTATTTTCAGGGAGAGCAGAGACAAGATTCATGTTGGAGGCAGAGATAACTCAGCTGTTACCTCCTTTCCTCCGTGTTGCTGTCACCACTGTAATAGGTATAAATCATCGTGGCCTAGATAGTCTGCTGGGTGTTTACAGAGACATTCATTATTACTAATTAATATAAGAACCCCGGATTCATTTGAGAAATCACAGCAAAGAGACGCAAAAGTTCTGCAGAAGCCTGTACGGGTTTCTTTCACCCAATTTGAAGTAATCACTTAAAACAAATGAAAGTGACACATCCGCCCGATTCTCACCACAGGCGGATGCTTCAAGCTGCCAACTTACAATTTCATCACGGCGGTGGGAAAGCGGCGTCTGAGCAATCTGCCACCTGGAACAGTCAACTAAATAACGTATTTTATTCCCCTCTACTAATGCTGCAGCATTATTGCATTCTCTCTGCATGCGCGGGCTAAAGCTAGACGGTAATGAGCGCCCATCGCCATCGTTTCTGTATAAACCGTTTGATCAAACTTTATGTTGACAACTTTGTGTTCTACTAATCTTCTATAACAATAGACAGATCAACTGAAATAGGTTTGTGTTCTTGGTTTGACTTTGAACAACATATTGTAAATTCCACAGAATGAGTAAAAAAGTATGGTTTTATAATAATTAAGTGTATTGTAATGATGTAAAATCCATTAAACCTATGTATATATCTTTGGCATGATTGAGTCCTTGTTCATGTTTTCATAAAAATACATTTTTCCATTAACACCGAGCTGACTCACCTCCATCTCACTCTTCATCTGAATATTAATGATGGCTCGTTTCCCTTAAGGGAAACTAATATTGAATGTAACACACACACACACACACACACACACACACACTCTCTCTGTATTGCTACCACACTTCTTTCTGTGCTTAGCCTTTTGCCCACTGTCACCTTTCAATTCCACTTTCTATTTCCGTCTCTCTCCCCACCTGTTTTCTCCTCTTTCTGTCACCCCATATGTCTCCTTGTCTCTCACTGTCTATTCTCTTCAAGCCAGCCTCTCTCCCTTCATTTTTCTTCCCCGTTCTCTCACTCCGTCCATCTGTGTCCCTCTTCAGTCTCCGCTGTTCTATCGACATCACCCTCTTTCTGTCTTGCTCTGTCAAATGAATTCTCGCACATTAACGTTTACAAAGCGCTCTGTAAGTCTGTATTTGAGCTAAATGCTAAAGCTAACATCCTCACAACGACAATACTGACATGCTGATGTTAAGCAGGTGTGATATTCACCAAGATCGTCTTAGTTTGGCATGTTAGCAAACATTATCGACAAACCCAAATTACAGTTGAGGCTGATAGGAATGTTGTTAGCTTTGCGAGCATTTAGCCTTAAAACTGTTGGACAAATTCAAAGGTTGATGGCTATTGATAAAAAGGGATGACCACAGTTATTACAGTTCATCCTGAGGGGAGCAAAGACGTCTGGACCAAGTTTTATGGCAATCCACCTGTTGACATAATTCATTCTGGACCAAAGTGGGCCAACGGAATGACATTGCCATCCCCAAAGCCACGCCACTAGAAGACTGACATGAGGTATGTAAAATAGAATAAAAACAAAGGAAAGAAAACTGAACAAATAAGTGACTTTAAACCATGACTGAATGAGTATACAACCCTGAAAGCAATAAAGTCCTTTCAAAGAATTTGGCAGCATAGTGAAAAAACTGATTAACAGCTTTAAGTATACAATAAACAAATAAGTTTCTGAGATGACAACATGGCTAGAACACATGTCCAAATGTTAAATATTAATACTAGATAGGTTGTCTGCTTTTACCCAGAAGCGTTATCTTAGTTATCAAAACTGATATTGCAAACTATGTGCCTCTCCAATTTTTCGCACTGTTTGCTGTTCACTTGTGTCTCCTTCAAGACACATAAAAAAAGAGTGTGTGTGTGTGTGTGTGTGTACCTGTTCTCGCTGGAAGATTTCTCGGAGGTGTTCCAGCCCCAGACTTTTTAAGAACTGGTTGATGGTCATGTCCAGCAGAGCTGCAGAGACACAGTGACGTCAGCAGGCGTGTTACACATGCTAACAGCACGTTTTCATTCATGAAGGGCCAGCCTCCGATCTAGCATACAACTTACTGAACGTACTCTCTCCTTCCTTCCTGTCGGACCCCGACGCGCCGTCTGCTGGTCCAGTGGCACCCCCCACAGTGATGTCACTGAGAGGCGTGGCCAGGTTGTCGATGCTGCTGGCTGCAGACAGACAGGACGGAGATGGAGAGGGAGAGATGACCACGCCCCCTGCCGCACCTGTACTCGCCACACTTGCGCTCACCTGAGAGCGGAAGAGAGACGATTTAGTTTAAAGGGTCAATATGTCAAATGTTATTGCTGAACTGTTGTACAAACTGACAGATATTTTACAACTCTTTACAGTGCACATGCATCGCATAACAAGGCCACCACATGATAATGTTTAGGCTAAAAAGCCCGCCTGTACCCCTTCATACGCGTGTGGACACTCACCACAGTGGCCTGGGGTTTTAAGCAGCTTGGCAGGGCATCTGGCGGCATGGTGTCAATCAGCAATGCTCTGATGTCATCAGCCTGCAACAGATAAAGAGACAGAGTACATTACCCATATGTCTGCCTGCATCTTGTCATTATGTCTATGTTTAATTCTCCACCTAATACAAACAATTCTGCTTCTATTTTTAACTTAATATAATGTTTTTGTACATGTAAAGTTCAGCGCTGTAGTGCAGCTGTAAATAATACCCATTCAATTTATTGTGCGTTCTTTTGTTTAATGCACTGTGAAGAAGTAGTTGGATTGACAAGGTTTTTCTTGGGAGTGCCTCAAGAGTGCCAGTGTTGAGGCTCAGCTTGACGGTCTATAAATGACTTCACCGCAAAGTATTCACTGCATCTACAGTGTTAAATAACATTGCTTATTCTTCATTGACAAGTACACAGCATGTTTTCTGTGTCCTCTAATCTGTAGCAGATTTACGGGCTAATGTTTGCATCATCACAAGTTGCACTTCACTTCCTTTGAATGTCAGCTGTCGTGACGTGAACTTCTCTACGGAAGACACACAAACTATGAGTCTCGTAAAATGGAGAAATTAGGACGAATGCTGTGAAACATTTCCAAGTGCGCTCGCGTACCGTTGCTAAGTCCAGTGGCGTCTGTACCTCCTGGTTCTTCATGGTGGGGTCGGCTCCATGGGCCAATAGCAGAGCGCAGAGCTGAGTCCGCCCTTTCTGGGCCGCCTCGTGGAGGGGAGTAAACGCCCACTTGTCTGTGGCGTTGACGCACGTGTTGTACTTGATCAACAGGGCGGCTATGTCCACATGCTAGACGGATGATGTGGAGACAGACACAGAGGGATCAAGACAGGAGATGAAAGGGGAGGGAGGAGGAGAGATGTAAAGGGAATCAGAGAGGAGAGATTAGAAGAAGAAGAAAAAAATGAGAGCAGGAAGAAGAAGATGGTGGTGGGAGGAGGAAAAGAGACAACAGAAATAAAAACATTTCACAAGAGCAAATGTGTGAATGAGTGCTATAAACACCGTGGTAGGAAAAGAATGTAATATGTGGGATTCTCTGGAGCAGAACCTCTGTGAATTATTAACTCCATCATGATTCTTGTTTTCCCGCAGGTCTTTCCTTTCCTTCCTGTTCTTTTCCCTCATCGTCTGGCTCCAACTGCTATCTTAGCGTCAAACAGAATGCAGCTTGTTTCTGAGTACCAGTGGGGGATGCTAAAGTGTGTGTATGTGTGTGTGAATCTCTGAGAATGCAGAGCTCATCAAGTTTTCATTCAAACATGTGTTTCATGACTCTTTCCGCAGCAGAATGCTGTCAAGCTGTAAGCAAAATGTGGTTGAGAGAGACAACCGAGGACTCCAGATGAAGGAAAAACTACACACATGCATGCATGTCTTCAGAGAACCTCAGTGTAATAATAAGGTTAATAATAATAATAATGGTGGAGTAATGGTTCTTACTGTCCCACACAACTAACAGAATGTGACATATCTGCAGGCGTCAACTGAGCTGTGGACAGCAAGAAGCTGCACTTTTTCAGCCCCCATCAGCGATAAGTAGACGTAAGCTAGAAGATTCAGAAATTGCTGTACGCATCCCCTCTCCCCCCCCGTGATATGGATTCAAAGCCTGAAATATGAATTCATAAATGTTGCAAACTTCAGAATAAGCAGTGTTGGAGTGTGCAACAAGACAAATGAAAGGACAGGATGTCAAATTGTAAATACAAATCTTTCCATCCTTTTTAAAATTCATCATGTAGTCTAAAAGAAAATGTAAAAAAATTGATGTTAATTAATTATGATTCCCATCAAGTAAAAGCTAATTCGACATTCTGTCTCAGCACTTTTATTGAATATGAGTAGTGTGTGTGTGTGTGTCTTACCCCGTATGAGGCAGCATTGTGTAACGGTATCAGCCCTCCTTTGTCCTGTGCATTCACATCGGCTCCATGTTCCAACAGATACTCTGCTACCTCCAAGTTGTTGTAGCCAGCTAGAGAGTGGTTGTATGGACAACACAGCAGGACAGGAAAGACAGATGGTGGTCGGGATATAGAGGCAGATAAAAAGAGGAAAAAAGAAGAGAAACAAAAACGCAGTCAGGTAATGAGAGAGGAGGGAAGACAAAGAGACATGTCGGCCTACAGTGTGACAGCGTATAATCATCTTTTCCTTTTATAAGCGAGCACATCAAGGCAGAGGGTGCGTGGGTGTGTGTCTAAGTGGTCAGATCTATGAAGAAGAAGAAAAAACACCGGCAGACCTTCAAAGTGTTTTTTCAGCAGTTTCTCAACTTTAAAAGTGCCAGTCATGCAGCAAAACATTTTCTAATTATTAATTCTTTATCATCTTACAAAAGCTAGCCTAGGTCATGAAACGCATAGAAGAAGACAAAGGACAATCTTCTTCCCCACCAGAGGAGGAGTACACGGAGAAACACTGCAGGAAAAGTCGTTTGAGAGACAGGCCAAGGCGTCAACCCCGACGACAACGGTTCAATTCCCAATTCAGGATAACAAGTGTTCCACCGGGGAGCGACTTCATCTAACACCAAGGCGCCACACTTTGCCCCAACTTTAAACAAGCTGTCCGGATATTCCTTCGTGGTGCATGGAGGTCATCTTCGCGTCATGTCAGAGTTTGTGCAGAAAATGTAAAAAGCAGGAAGATAAAAAGAATATCTAAATATTTACCCTCCTTGCTATGACATTTTAAGATACGGTTTGAAGACATTTTTCTGTCCTGTGTTTATGCAGAGTGGTGTTCTTGTTATCTCTGAGGCTGATGTTATCATGATTACTGATCCTGAATAAATGAATGAGTAGGTGCACCTTTGAAGAACTGCGGTAATCTCTGCCATCAGGATTTTTAGGAACTTTATCAAGTTTGCGTGAGATCCAAGGTCGTTGCAGTACACTGTAGCTTCTAGTGTCGCGTCGCCATAAATTAGCCGGCCGTCTCGAGCTTATCCAAAACGCTGCTGCCCAGCTCTTGACAAAAACAAAAGGAGGCGACACATCGCCTTCATCTTTGCCTCCCCTCGCTGGCTCCCTGTGCCGTGTAGAACTTATTTAAAGTCAGCTTCTTTTTTTCCCATTTCTATCATAGAGCCACGCAGCACTGTCAAATAAGTGTGGTTCCAGAAGAGCCACCTGAGTGAAAAAAAGGGATCTGCATGCTAAACCGTATGCCCCCTCTGTCTACGAACAAGGTGTCTTTTCCCCCTCGAGATTTTAGCTGTGTGCGTTTATTGCCTTGTTCTTGGCACCGTACTGAGCCAAAATCTCAGGAAGGTTGTGAGAAGTTATAGCTAGACTGATTGGCACCACCAAATATACGATGTACAAACTGGCTTAAATCTTGCAAACCTCAGCAAAACAGTTTCCAACAACATCTGACTTCATTTTAATGAGTCTGCAAAGTGAGATCTACATAACCGGGGAGGTGCTTACTTATTAAAATGAGCTGTAAATGTGTGTGTTTGTGATTCTACATGCATATCACCTGCGAGGTGCAGAGGCGTTGAGTTGCGTCCCTGCGTATCCCGGCAGTTGATGTTGTCGGGGCTACATAGCTTCTGCACCCGGGCCAGGCAGCCTTTTTTAGCGGCGTCCAGCAGCGCGGCGTCTCCTCTCAGCAGGTCCTGGATGTCGGTGTCCCCGTCCTTCACCAGGTCCAGAGGCGTGTTCCCGTCCCGGTTCTTCTTGGTGGGGTCTGCGCCGTGCTGGAGAGACGAGGCCAAAATGGAGTTCAGTATAAATCGCAGACCGTGTTTGCGATCAAAATGCAGAACTTTTTTTTTTTTTTCTCGTAACAAAGACAAAATGTTAAGACTGAATGGTGGTACAAAACTATGTTTGCAAATTCTTTAAAATATCACTCCCCAAAATCCCTTATCATTTGAACCCCCGGGGGAAGCGTTTCACTTCGACGAGGAAGAGACCATGACAAGTGACGAGCGAGGAGAGGATGAAGGCAATTCACCGGAGAGAAGAAGAGAGAGACAGGCGAAAAAAAAAGGAGGTAGAGAGGTGAAGACAGGACATCCAGTGAAGTGGAAAACACCACACACCCTGGAGATGGGCTGGAAAGCAGACATTTTCATCTTTCAACTGTCTCCCTAGGTTGCGGTTTAACTTGTCACTTCACTGTAGGTTTTTGAAAATCTGCTCATTAAAATGTGATGTTGTGGGACAACTCCCCTGGGTGTCCCCTGCTGGCCTGAAACTGTCCGTTATACATCTTTCATGCCTGTATTCCCTATTTAAACGTTTTTTTTTACGTATCCATAATCAGATTTTTCTGCCCTACTTTTTCCTTTCTCTTTGCTGCTGCTGTAATCATATTCTCACTCTAATTTATTCGCTATCCAGGAAAATTATAAAAGAGACCCATTTCAGTAATAATTTGGAACTTTTACACATTAATACATGTCGGTTTTGTGGAAGAATTTCCATTTACAATAGTGAACAAGTTCTCTGGCTCATGCATTTTACCTTTTTTTGTCTTCTTTTTTTTACAAATAACAATAAGAGTTTACAGCCATGCTGGCAGCTCTATGAAGAGGATGGACTTAGTCACCGTGCTCAAATGTAAGTGCTAACATTAGCATGCTAACATGCTCAAAGTGACAATGCTGACGTGCAGATTTTAAGCAGGTGTTATGTTCACCATCTTAGTTTAGCATGCTAACATTTGCTAATTAGCGCTAACCTCAAATTAGCACTGAGGCTGATGGGATTTGTTGTCATAAAAGCATCTTAAAAGTACAAACTGAAAGTTTGACCTGATGACGGCGCTGTAGATGAAAAGTGAATTGCTCATCTTGAGAGGAAAATGTAATGTTTTAACCACAATTTCATGTCAAAGCCCCTGAGAATGTTTCTCTAAAAGCCAAAATGTAGCTCGAGGAAAAATCAGGAATCACCAAAGTGATTAGGATTCATCATCTGGGGAACAAGAATGGCAATCCATCCAATACCATATGGCAAACGCTACCAAATGGCAATATGTCGCACTGCTTGCGAAACGTCGATACGTCACACGATCATAAGTCATGCGAGTTCACATCTTTCATGCCAAGCGCTAACGCGGCAGATTGTCCTTTAATTGGATGAGAGATTCATTATGTTACACTTCTTTTCCTAACAAAGGAAATGCAAATACTCATTTTGTAAATCACACAAAAAGGTCCAGAATATCACAGCACCGGGAGCGAACGCAACAGAGTTTTACTCTGAGAGACAAATCCAACACAGAAAGGGGACGAGACGAAGCTGACAACAAACGGAGCAGACAAAAGAAAAACCTACTGCTGAACTCTGGAATAGTTTATTCGAAAAGAGAGAACGGTTGCATCCCGAGGCCGTGGCAGATTAACACCCAAAGCGCGGGAACACTCGGCTTACTTGTGTGCATGTGTGTGCGCCAAAAGGGGAAATGAGGGCGCTGCCATGTGAACACAAGGATAAACAATCACAGGCTTAGCAAAATGAGAGGATTTTCCAACCAGAGTGGAAAAATGCCAACGCTTCCCACCACCTTGAAGAATCGATCATCCGTGTGTGTGTGTGTGTGTGTGTCGACACCCAGACCTCTTATTGCAACCATCAGATCAGTGAAAGTGTGGCCTGAAGGACCTTCTGTATCGCCAGGGCTAATTTGAGAGCACTTACTGTGATCTATCTGCACGTGAGGCTACACACCAGGCTGAGCTTACACCAGACGAGGAGAAACAATCCCTTGTGTTAAACTCCCACTAAGAGAAGCGAGCCTTGTGCTGGATGAACATAAACAAAGCTGCTCAGGCGTATCACCGGTCATCGTGAGCACCGACCGGTCAGAGTAGCCCCGCTTGCCACAAGCAAGCGACTACAGATGGGGCGTCAAATTAAAAGTTAAAAGTGGAAAAAAAACAACATTAAGTGTCTTTCAGAACCGCTTCAACGCTCCTTCAATAACACCGTCACCATGTCTGGCGCTCTACTGGAGGGATGCTTTTCACTTTCCATGCCGACAATTGTCGCACGGATACACAAATCAACACGATCTGAAGTATTCTGATGAAACACCTCGAACATCTCTGTTCCCCAACCACGTCCTGAACAGTGAATGCAAATTGTTACCATGAAATTGTAGATACGAGGTTCCGTAATTGAATGTGGTTAGACTGAAGCACTAATCCTAAAATTAAATATGCAGCTTAATCCAAGATCAAATGTATATTGAGCGGTCTTGAATATATTGTCTTTGCAAGATTTCAGGCTTGATCTGACTATAAGATATTATCATCATCATCAAAACTATCAACTGTTAACAGTGTGAACAACTATTGCCCTCATAACCACAATGTGTTTCAAGAAAACAAAACCTCCTTTCCCCAATTTGAATCAATATCCGTTCAGTACAGCGTTTCACTTGCCTTTCGCACAGACTGTTTAATAGAATGTTAAATAATAGATTTCACCTCCGCATTTTTGTAAAAGAAAATGCTACTTATCGTGCGTTTCCATCCACTACTGTTATGCAGACGTAAAGAGTTGGGTGCATGAAGATAAACCATTAAACAACGGCAGAGAGAGGCCGCAACGATGTGACATCATGAAAACAGCGCTAATCAAACCTCAGACGGTGGAAAACGTGATGGAAATATGGCTTTTATGTTTATTTCCTGTGTTCATTTGAGGAACGTTACAGTCTCGCGATCGCTCCACGCAGATCTTTCTTTCAGTCGTGACTTATCTAACAAGTATGTTTCCATTTCACTCTGAAACTGCTTTTTTTCCCCCCAGAGATGTCACCTTCCTTAGCACTGCCGACTCCACTCAACCATAACAGCCATACAAGTAACTCCACTGCACCACCCACCACACACACACACACACGTGCACTGTTCAATTGCATTTAGGCTCAAAGTGATTTACGATTGCTGCAGTGAACTGTTGCGTGCACTAGTTTCTTTTTTATTACTTTGTCCGTCTGACCTTGTCAATCTCATATTAGGTTCTTGAGTCGGCTGCACTACCTCACTGCTGATCTCTCTTCGTTTCTTATACCGCTCTGTAAACACGTGACACCTCATGCAATACTGTTAATTACAATATTTAACTGACCAGTTCCAATATATTCTTGACTCAACAATTCAAATTGTGGTATCTTTGCCTAATCTTTTATCACATTAAGTTTTTTTAAATATTTAATTTCATTATTGGGTAATTCGATATTTTATCTTCAATGAATCCGACACAGATTGCTCCAAACTTAATCTCATTGTGTAAGGAAAGTTAAGGGAATCGGAGTTAAAAATCTTTATGCATCACATTCTCCCTGCAGCTGACGGGTTTGGTTTGCTGCGTGCGAAGTGCGCGTTGATCTAATAATGATTTATGCAGCCCCATATGGCAACAACACTGTGCCGGTGCAGCCGTGTCTGGAGGTGTTCGTGATAGGAAAAACAAAAACACATTCAGCCGTAAAACTGCAACATTTCACAGGACTCATTTAGCCTCCGCCAGATGTGACGATCAGGAAAAACACAACAGATACTTTCAGCGCTGTAGCCTGATTGGTCAGAAATGATCCCGACGGGGCTGAAATTCTCGCCAATTCATGGGCCCCTGATGGGATTATTTAGGGACTGTCGTTATTGTTATTTCAAAGAAAAAGGCTTCTATACTGTTGATTCTGCTGCTTTAAATATGCAGCACTAGTCTGATTTACATTGCAGTGAGTGCACATGAATGTATATGCATTTGTGGCATGGGAAGTTAGTTTAGGCATTAGGAGGAGGGAAGCGCAGGTCTGACCTTAAGCAGCAGCTTGCAGATCTCATATTTGCCCTTGGCAGCAGCTTCGTGGAGCGGCGTGAACTTCCACAAGTCGGCCACGTTGACGGAGGCTCCGTGTCTGACCAGCAGCTCGGCCACCTCGTAGTGACCGTACGAACAGGCATTGTGGAGGGGAACCAGGCCACTGTGAAGGGAAAACACACAGAGAATTTGTTTCTTTTATTATTTTATCAGCTGTTATTAGAAATGATGACCTTCGATATCTTTACTATAACTTTCTAATTCAAATAAATTAAACCATAACTCAAGAGTCCCACCCTTTGTCCTTGGCATGCACGTCGGCCCCGTGGTGCAGCAGGTACTCCACCACCGTCACTCTGTTGTAGCCGGCGGCAAAGTGAAGGGGAGTGGAGTGTCTTCCCTCCAGATCTCTGCAATTCACATTCTGAGCCGTACACAACGACTGGAGAGAGAGAGAGAGAGAGAGAGAGAGAGAGAGAGAGAGAGAGAGAGAGAGAGAGAGTGCGAGAGAGAGAGAGAGAGAGAGAGAGAGAGAGAGAGAGAGAGAGAGAGAGACGGAGACAAAAGAGTGAAGATTAAAATGAATATTTGGTATCCAATTAAGGAGCTGATCAGCCGAAGAGCCATGAAAAGATGAAGCTGTGATATCTGGCTGCATAACCAGCCACGTAGTGAATTATTGTATCTATAATGAGGCTTTAAAAAGGACAGACAAATTTAATTTAAAGATGAGATGATTTCAAGAGGTTTTTCATCAACTCAAATGTGAACATGGAGACAGTGCTTTTTTTTTTTTTTTGTTAAAATGCTCAAGTGCAATAACACCACATTCTCACTGAAAATGGACGATGAGTCGCAGTGAATAATTGAGATCTGAAAGATTGAGAGAAGTAAAACGGGCAGGAAATGGACACCCTTTTTCTGTGATAACGAGAGAAAATGTCATTTACATACAAATTTGAATGGGAACATTTCTCAGCTCTGCCTTGAATTTTTGCAGATTCTCAGCAGGATACTTTTCTTTGGAGTTGGCATCACTGTTCTTTGCTTATTATGACATTTTCCATATTTGATCATGTTGACTACTTGAGATGTACCTAGAGGGTAAAGAACAGAGGGTCTCCGATGCTAAAGTCCCTCGAGGCAAATTAGTGTTTGTCTATATACATCATCCTTTTTATTCCCTCAAAAACATAATCAACCAAAACCATCTTCAAACACGAACAAACAGCCCTTCTGATAGACCGCAAGAAAGAGAAAATAGAGAAAAGAGTAATACTGTTCCTCTGCGCACCCCCCCCCCCCCCCCCCCCCCCGCCCCACCATGATATATAATGAAAGATATGTCTGTCAAATGAATTATGTGAAAAAAGGGAGGGGGGGGTTTAGCGAAAAACAGCAACAATATTGAAGTTATTAACTGAAGTTGATTCACGTCTGCTGAACTGAGGCAGACGCCGGCTACCCTGCTGTTCACAGAAAATAACTGTGCTGCTGTTTTTCTGTTATAGACCCAATTACACCTTGGTTAGAGAGGAGACACGGTGGGAAATTCATTTTAAAAGTGTCCTATGATATGAAACACGCTGCCGGCAGATGCATTCCTCAATCTTAAGCTACTATCCTTCACATTAACTGCCATCAAGGAAGTGTCTGCTTCTCTTTCTGAAAAAAAATAAGTGTTATAAACTGTAGCATGAGCCACAGCGGGTGGAATTTGAACTCTGCATACAATGAAAATGATGTGATTAGTTTTGAAAGAAGCTGACGGGTACGTTTAAACTTGTGGGAATTGAGACTTGGTCGGGACGACATGGTGCCATTTAAGGATCAATTCTATGTTTGTGCTGGAGTTTCTGAATATTTGTCACTAAGAGATAGTAACATACTTATCTAAACATATATTTTGTATCAATTTAGAGAGTCGAGAATTTCTGTGTACACTGTATCCCAATAGGTGTTTAGCCTTTGACAATCTAAACGTATAAAGGTACAGAGTAAAGAAGACTCCATATCCAACAACAATATCGGTGATAAGCTGCAATGTTTGGTCGATTAATCCATAAATTGATCGTCAGAAAATTAAATTGACAACGTAGGCAAACTCCATTTGCTCTAAACCGCGAACAGTTCAGTTAATGGATCTCCTTTAAAAAGACCCGAGTCTGCAATTAAAATTTAAACCTGCAACAACTGAATTTAACGGCCACTGGGGGGGCGGGGGGGCTGGAACGAGTTGAGAACAACAAGTTAATAGCACACACACATCCAGCTTTTTACGCAGCAGCATTGGCATTTATTCGGAGCCGTGATGAGTGTTGATTAGCTCCGTGTCTGAGGCTCTGGATCTGCTAAATGTTCCACTATGTTCATCCTCTTAATAATATTTTAAAATACAGTAGGTGCAGCTGCTTTGAATTAAGTATGCTCCTGTTCTTTGACCCGTCCCTCGAGGGTGACCATCTTTTCTAACAGTCACAGTCTGAACCTCCTCAACATTGAACACAGATGGCAGGAATCAGCCCAGGAACGGAGCAAAGTGTTATTTTTCTTCCGTCAATCAGTAGCTCAGCCAGACTCAAGTCTGTGTACTTGTGTGTGTGTGTGCGATTTTCACTCCACGCCAAATTCTTTGCCGGATTCTCACCAGCTCCCGACATTTGGTGGGTGTTTTTTTTTTTTATCCGAGGCATATTACAGAGCATCCTGAGCGCCTACATGTTCAGCACGAGTGGGCCCCGGTGCAACTCAAACTGCTGCGATTACACAGCGTGTCGTGGCTCGGCAATCCCATGAGAGGGGAACATTTGGCCTTTTAGAAAGAAGAAAGGTTTGCTGTTCAACTCGGATCAATGTGGACAAAAATACAAAGACACGAACAAAAAGCATTTCATTCACGCCGAACAATATCCACCTGACATTTAAGAAAAGTCAATGCGACCAGAACTCCATAAGAGCAACAAGAGCAGGCACAAAGGTCAAGACAATTTGTTTCATTTAAGAAATAAAATAAAGGCACGATAATCTGTGCCACAATTACATTGAGTCACTGTCACATTTACCATGTTTTTAGCCCATCTATAGCTCCTTATTTTCTGTTGTGCATCAGTGCTTCACATGAATGAAAGTCCTTTATTACAGATTAGATTATTAGGTTTGTTTAAGGGCAACTAACTCATAGATTTATTGTGTTTTTCTTCTCAGCCACTGAGCTCATCATGTGTTTCTATAACCTGTGGAATGTCAGCTCAGACATGTTCAGGGTTTATAAAATGCGTATAAAAACTTTCTCAGAACAGGATTCCATATGATTTCCAAACCTTAATGAGGCAATTAAAAAAAAGATTTCTGCTCCCTGAGAGCAAATTATTTCCTACGATCAGTGTCATTAATACTGAGGTTAAATTAATGCAATATGGATCGCTTTGTAGGGGAATTAATTCTCACTCATTCAACCCTTTCACACCAACACCCCCTTTGAGTGTGTTCTGTCTAAATTAAGTTAAATTGATTCTTTGTAATTGTTACACTCTGTTCACATTTATTTAACTCAAACTCTCAAGCAGGCGACAATGTCAACGGCCAGTTTCAAAATGTGACAAACGTTAACCGAACTACCTTGACGGTGTCCAGGTCTCCGGCTTTAGCCGCTTCCAGAAGTCTGTAGTCGACATCGGAGTTTCTCACCGGGACGTTCTCTACAGAGCAGAAGGTACAGGAGAACATTGGAATAAAAGCTCTCTGTGCAAACATTGGCAAAAGATACAAATGATCGTTAAAACGTAAATGTATGCGAATGGTGAAGAGAGAAGATGACGTTAGATGTAAGTCCCCGTGAGTGACTGATGTTTCTTTAAAAGTTTATTTGTCCTATTGGTGGTTACAATGCTGAGGATAAAACTAAGAGAATATAAGGACAAAGTTTTGCCAATATATCAGGCCATGTCGATGTGCTCGAGGTTACTCCACAGCAGCTCTACTTGAAGGAGTGGTTCGATATTTGGGGAATTATGCTTGTCCTTTTTCTACCGAAAAGGTGGATGAGAAGATTGATACAGATCATGTCTGTACGGTGAACATAAAGCTTCAGCCAGTGGAGGTGAGTTGTGTCTGTCTGCCTTTAACTTTACTCACTCTGCACCTTCAGTCTGAAAGTATCAACACCGACCTTTCAAAAACAATCCCAGTTCATCCCGCTGTTGCCAGCTGCCACCTACACACCTGCACACCCAGCCTCCCACACACACACACACACACACACACACACACACACACACACACACAC